GGAAGGGACGAGCCCCATCCCGGAACTACTACAGGCCCCCTAGGCTGACAGTTATTTCACAGTAGATCTATAGTGAGGAACAGAGGTATTCTGGAGATTACAGGCTCAATACAGCAGCCATTGAACAGATGAAACAAATGAAGGAATGGACCCAGGAGTGCAGCAAGGTTGGATGGCTGGAAAAGGACACCAGATAAGCCATTTTTATCTTTAGGCTAAACATTACTGGCCCGAACAGGGAAGGGATGGAGGTGGTGACCCAGTCCAAAAGGAATGTAATCTGCCAAATCCTATACACTCCGGTGCCTTTATGGGGTTGGGAAAACAGGTGTATTAGAAAGGACCCCCATCCTCTGCTGGGCTTAACAGAACTTGGGTTGGTTTGTGCTGGCTTTAAGAACCTGGTGCAGACGCCACATACACACACAACACACTGAAGAACATCCAACGAGCAGGGAATGTGTTCCCCCCCCCTTTACCCTCCTCTGTTTGTGTGCCAGCCTGGTACAATGGGCTCTTTGAGAAGGGGCAGCTGGCAGGGAGGCTGGCCGTAGAAATGTGCAGCTGGGGGAAAACCAAATTCATTTCCAGGAGCTGTCCCATAACGGATGCCAATTTCCAAAACAAAACCGCCATTTCTCTGCCCTCATGGCAGTTGCCTCAGAGCTGGAGGGAGGCCGGACTGGGAATTTCAACTTAAAATGCTGCTAGGTTAACACTTTGCTGCCTGGGACGGCGATTTACATAACACACCCATGCTTGCGACGGAGATGGAGCGCTTGAAATACCTGCACTTGCTCCTGATCAACAGCGCCGATCTCAAACCACAGGATGCATCGCTGTGCAGCATGGCTTCCGCACAACATTCAGAGACACGGAACAGAAGTCTGGGATTTTAACAACCCCTTCCCCTCCCAATCTTTCCCCCCATCCCATGGCAGCACCACCACCTGTTTGGGGCGGTGTGTATCTTCCCTCACCTTCAAACACAAATCCTAGGTGTGGCTCAGAGATCAACAGTTTCACTCTGTAATTTTGCCAGGCTGGCTGACAGAACAGTTCAGGGAGGCCAGCCGGTCACAGAGTCAGAGATCAGTACTAGGGACCAAGGGGTCACCTCGGTCATCAAGTCAGAAACGTGATATCTTGGCAGATCAACTCCCCTCCAGTACCGACGCTAATCTGACCATCACTAGCGATGCTGCCTTGCACACCTTTCCTTTACTAATTACTCTGGACTACTTTAGTCTAATTCCGGTTGCTGGATTTAGCCTGCAGATGCTGGGTGATGGCCTGTGATACGTAGGAGGTCACTAGACAATCTGGTGACCCGTCTGGCCTTAAACGTTATGACTCTATACTCCCCTGCCCAATGTTCCTAATATCTCATCTAAACATCCTTCTTTAACGACAAACTATTGCTCACCTTTCTGTCCTACCCTCTTGTGTGGCTGGATACATTGCCTTCCTTCACTGAGGTTTTTACACTGAGGGGTTACAGTCCACATTCCTATGTTGTCATTAGTATTTAGTATTTGTATTGCAGTAACAGCTAGGAACCCCACCCCAGGATCAGGACCCCATTCTGTGGGGCTATGTACAGACATGGCTGGGCCTAGGGAACTCAGTCTGCATGTCAGCCAGCAGGCAACGGGGACACACACCAGACCAGTGGGCAAGACTAGAATGGGAGGATGAGTTGCCATAAAGCGAACACAACATCTCAGAAAAGCTGGTCAACATCCCCAGTTGAGAGGTATTTGTAGAGACACATTGTGGCAGGTATGTTTTAAAAATAGGATTTAAAGAAGTACAAGGTGGCAGCTTTATGAATTTCTGTGGGGACTTTTCCCCAGGAATGGCTGGTGATGCGGGAGAGCGCATGGAGATTGTCGGGGGAGAAGTGGACAGGCAGGCTGGTACCGCTGGGGCCAACAGCTCGACAGGTGAGCAGATCGGATGGAGAGGAGGGCTGGATGGAGAAGGGTGTTAAAGGCCAAGATGTGGAGCTTGTGTTTGCTGTGGTGGAGGAGAGGGGCCAGTGGAGGGACATGGAGGCGGGGTGAAGTGACCCTAGCTGCTGTGTTTTGGTGGTTCTTTGACAGCAGTGTCTTACTCTCCAGGTTTGAAAATCATTCCATTCTCCCTTTTGGTCTCTGTTTTTGCTGTATCTTTCCTATTCCAAAGATACCTGGCTGGCATGAACTTGGCCCGGTCTGGCTGCCCTGGGCAACACAGGGAGGCACCATTACTTCCCTTGCTAACCCAGAATTCTCTTTCACAGGAGAGTGGGAACCCAGCCGCGAGGCCCAGGCCCACAGCTTTCTCCCCTCACTTTGTCCACAAAGTGAACCATCCCTACCCTTCGGACACTTCACCCCAGCCCTCCTTCATCAGCTGCAGTCACAGTCCTCTTTCCCTCTCCCCCCTCCCGGCCCACAAAGCCATAGCTGAGGGGCTGAAAGGGGAGGGGCCTTCTGCTCCATCTTTGGCACCTAACTGGTCCTTCTTTGCTTGACTGACATCAGAGGACAGGACCCATCCCCTTGTCCATGCTGGGGAGCGAAGCCTCAGGAAAGCATCTCCCCCAACTCCCGGCCACGTATCCTGCATTACAATGGATCTAAGTTGTGTGGCAGGCCCCTGGGTCCCACTGCTCAACAAAAGCGAGGCTCTAATTGGCCACGATAGCACCAGTGCTGCACAGAAGGTGACGCACATGCTTTCAGAGTGCTCCTCCACTTCTGCTATGCTGTCACATACGCACCAGCTGGTCTCGGAATTCCACCTGGTCCACACCCACAGCAGTGACATGAGGGCAGGTGCTTGAGGGGGTCTGGGTGGTTTGTCAGGTAGCAGAGAGGGGGGATTTCCACCACCTCTCTCCCATGCAGCGTCCCTCCCAAAGACCTATCCTCTGGGCCGATTGGTTCCTTTTCTGCCCTCTGCCGCCCATACCCAACAGTCCCCATGATCCCACCTCCACTAGCTCACTACAGGTAGTTCTGCCTGACCCAGAGGGCACTCCTGGGACTGGCGTTCTGCTCTCTCTGCCTGGGCAGAGCTGGGGAAAGAATTTCCTCATGGAGGATGGAGGAAAATTCCACTGCTGGAGGTAAAATCCACATGCATTTCTCCATCTGTGGATGGGCTGAATGCATGGTGCTGTCTTTGACTAACACCGGCCCCTCCATCATATGCCCTCTGCTATCTATAGCATCTTTTTCCCTGGTTCCACTTCCCACACTTGTCTGCAGTGCAGGATTTCATATGCAATACTATTCACCCTCTTTTAGTTCCCTCCCAACCTTTCCTATACGGATTGTAATTAAGTGATGAGATACACTGCGGGAGATTAGGATCTCCTGGGATTTTCTTTGCTGGACATGAATTAAATTGCAAGCAGCATGGCCTGCATGGTCAGATCCACGTCAGCCTTTGTGGCAACCGACCTGTTTTTTCTAGCCCTCATGAATAAGTAATAAAAGGTTCATTTATTCAGAGATAAGGAAAGCAGGAAGTTTACAAAAAAACACAGCACAAAACCCCCAGTGCGAACTGTAAAATGACAGAGCTCTTAGCAACCACTGACAAGTGGCTCCCCCCTCCTCCTTTCTCTAATTAAAGGCTGTTTCCATGTCGCCAAAAGGCGGCTGTGTGCGGACACAGCGTTTACAGAGAGAGACTGTTCCAGGCCCACTCTCCAGTACAGCTGCAAGGCACAAACAGGAGTATTCTGTTCTCCCGCAGCTGGCTGCAGTTAGGGCAAGTGCCCTGCTCCCAGCTCTCTGGTATATGTTTAAGGAGAATTCACCTTGCAAATATACAAACTTGACCAAAATATTTTCCTGAGCTGTCTTGTCCATTTCCTTTCCCCGGGCTGCTAATCAGGAGATCTGGACGTCAGCAGAAGCCTGCTCCTTTCAACCAGCTTCCTCCCTGTCCCCAGCATATCTAGTGACATCACGCCCCAGTGAGGTCACATAATCGCTCGTGGATCGAGCTGTCACTGAGCGAATCAAGCAGGAGTATGGAGCTACTTTCAGTGGAGAACACCGCTACTTACATACCAACTACTTAGTGAGGACAGGACTGTTTCAGGGGACTATGCTAAAACATTTTCAAGCTGCAGTTACATCAGTATATTTCAGGTCAGGAGTTGGGCTTTCTTGGCCTAACACTCTAATGATCGCTATTTATTATTTTCACTGGCATGACGCTCAGAGGCTGTAGTCAGAATCTGGGCCCCATTCTGCTGGGTGCTATACAACTGCAGAGGAAGAAATGCTGCCTGCCCCAAAGAGTTTGCAGTCTACTTATTGAATGTAACAATGGTGCATTGCTTGAGATCAGATACCTGCCTTTGCTCTGAAATGATACTTTAGGGAAACAAAAATGGAGGTGGGTCTGTATGGTCAGATACCTGCATCGATGGGTAACATTTTCAAAATCACTTACAGGACTTAGGAGCCTACGGGTAAAATTATCAAAAACATCTCAGTGACTTAGGACCCTAAGTTCCATTTTCAAAAATGGCAGGCACTTATGACCAGATTGTCAAAGGTATTTAGACACCTGAAGATGCAGATAGGTGTCTAGTGGGGTTTTCTAAAGCATTTAAGTAGGTTTGGTGTCTAACCAATCCAATGAAAGTTAGGCACTGAGGTACTTTTGAAAATCTCACTAGGCACCTATCTGCATCTTTAGGTGTTTAAATACCCTTTGAAATCTGGCCATAAGTGCCTAAACCACTTTTGAAAATGGGTCTTGGGTTTCTAAATAACCAAGGTGCTTTTGAAAATGTTACCCTCTGCCAATCAATATTCTGATTTCAGCTTGCTACCGGCCACAATTCACTGCCACTCCTGGAAGTCCCTCATTGGGCAGATGTCTGAGAGCCACCATTTCATTCCCAGGAGCACAGCCTCCAGGAGGAGACTCTGATGGGAACGCTGTCAATACCACGCTTGGACAAATGGTCACCGTACGCTGAAGCTCACCTCGATCTCTAGGTAGTCGTGGAGCTTCTTGCAGGTAGCAGCGAAGGTTTCAGTCGTGCCAAATTCAAAATACCACAGCTTGTTCTTCATCCTGACACACAGAACACACAGAGTTGGGAAGACTCATTAACACATTTGTCTGGAGACATGGCTCCATCTCTAACCCCTTCCCCTCCAGGCCAGGGTTCTCCAGCCCCACTGACAGGGGAATTCTACCGGCCTGCTGCTGAGACCCTGCCCACAAGCTTGTCTCCTAGGAAAAGTGAGATACTGTTACATGGAGTGACGCTGGCCAGCCAATGTGATACATACACATGCCCCGAGACCAACTGAATATGGGCTGTTGGGGCGGCTGGCAAGGCCCAAGCGTAGAGAAGTGGAGACGTTTCTGAAGCCCTGCATTCATGCCGGCGAGGGGATGCCAGACGCAGCTTTGGATACAGAAGAGGAATCATTGAGCTTTGTGACGGGTTGTGCATACCCCGCACTGGAGAAGAAAGGGTTAACACCACACTATGGGCGGTGGAAGACCCGCCCTGCTGGCCATGCAGGCATACTCCAACTGCTGCCTCAGTATAAAAGGGAGCAGCCCAGCTCATTCTAGGTGGATGGCCGGACGGGAAGGACCTTCAACCGAAGCTCCAGCTGAAGAGCCGCCACAACCCTTGCCTGGATTGGAGGCCTGGAGCCCAAGGAGCTCTGGAGAACCATCCACGCTGAGGAGCTCGGAGACCCTGATGCCCCATGGACAGCAGCTTCTGGAACTACGGTAGGAAGCGACCCGGGTGTGTGTGTGACCAAATGGTATCTCCCAACAAAGTGAGGTGAGCGTGTTTTGGTGGGATTCCCTGCTAACCCAGTGATGGACCACGCTGTCACTGTTAGGGCCCTGGGTGGGCCCAGGACCCCCTATTTGGGCCATCACTCCCCTGGTGGTGGCCCCCACCTTTCTCTGCCAGATTGACTCTGGCCATTAGGCTGTGTTGCCCTGTGTACGAGGGCCACCATATTGACCTTAGTCATTAGCCTGTGCTGCCCTGTGTTCGAGGGCCACCATATTGACTGTAGCCATTAGGCTGTAATTCTGGCCATTGGGCCGCACTGCCCCGAACCTGAGGGTTGCTAGCTGAACACTGGCTGCTGAGCCGCCCTGCCCTGTCCCCGAGGGTGATTACATGGACTCTAGCTGCTGGGCTGCACTGTCCTAGGGCTGGGGGGTTGTTAGACTGACTCTGGCCACTGGGCCGTGTTGCCCTGAGTGTAAGGGCTGCTGTACCTGACCGCAGCCTCTGGGCTGTACCGCGTTCACCCCAAGGGCCACCAGGGAGACTAACTGCGGTGATATCACCACCCTGTCCCGTCCCAAAATGGGATGGGGTGTACATACACCGCGACAAGCATGTTCACACTGAGCCAGGCAGTGGGGTGGAAACCCGGAGAGCAGGAATTCCTCTTTTGGCCAGGACTGGCATATCACAGGAGCAGCTCCACACCCTGACAGCCAAACCAGGCAGTGCAGAGACAGTCGGGTGTCAAGTGCACCGAGCCTTCTCCAGAACTGCTCAGGGTCTGCAGTAACAACTTAGAGAACACGGCAGCAGTCACAACAGGGGTTCTCAGAGGCAGCGGTCCTCTCAGCTCCTCCTGGACAGAGGTGGGGTGGGGCAAAAGCTCTTCTCAGTCCCCAGCTCTCCTCTTGAGGGGAAAGGCACTGCAACAGGGGATGGGGTACAGCAGAGCCAGGCAAAGGAGACCTCCAGCAGGCTCTCTGCTCCACCCCTTTCTGCACTCCCCCATGGGTCAGGAACCCTACCAGCCCCTCATGGGTCGTCACCCCTGTTCGGAGAAGAGGGACTGGCCCCCATAGCGGCAGCAGGGGGGCGCATCTCCCCAGTCCCATGCCAGCTGTGGGAACATGGGTTCGAGCGGTGGAGGGCAGCATGGAAAAGAGGCTGGGAGCGGGGCCGGGGATCACTTTGCCCAGCAGGGTGCAACGAGGGCTAGATTATGGAGGCACAAGGAAGCAGCTAGCTTGGTTAAATGGAAACTGAATAGAGGAAAGAGCTGGACCAGGCACGTCAGGGAGGATCCCAAAAGGAAGACCCCAAAGCTGTCAGTGGGGTGAGTGGTCAGTGTCTAGCAGCAAAGGACCAAAAATACAGAAATATCAATTAAATACACATTGCCCATTTGAACCAGAGATTAAGGTGATTTCATGGTTTCAGAGTCCCCTGCATGCTTTGGGGTGCTAGCCAAGTAAATCATAGGGTAGTAATAAGCTGATTGAATTAGCTGCTACAAAGCCAGGAACAGAGAGAGAAGGGAAATGTATCAGGGGTTGGATTAAAATACACTGTGGTCTTGGGGAGAGTGGCTAAAAATCAATGGGATTCACTAGAGACAAATGCAAAATGCTTTCATTGGCACAGGCCCAAACGCAAATGGGGGTGCCTGGCTAGGAAACAGCAGCACACGCCAGGATCTAAGGTTGTAGGGTAGGATTGATTATACGTGAGTCAGCAATGCAAAGCTAGAGCAAAAAAGGAGCATGCTATATTGGGCTGCATCAATAGGACTGCGTGTAGAACAAGCCAGGTAATTCTTGCTGTCTCACTATCACTAATTAGGGCCATCGGGGGCACAGGGGACAGCTCTGTGGCTCAGAATTCCCAAACAACAGAACCCTATTTTCAAAGGCTGTTGCCTAAATGAAAGCACCCAAATGAGTACTTGGCCACTGAACTGGTTCTCTGGATACGGCCAGCAGACAGCCTTAGAAACTTACATGTCGCAATGGTTACTGGGATATTGGCATTAATCCCCGATTCTGAGTTCCAGGAGTCCCACCAATATCCAATTGGTGGATTTGGTAGTTTAAGAGAGCCAAATGTGCCTCCTGATTTGAGCACCCAATTGAGCAAGTCGGCGCCTCCCTGCAGTGCCCATGTTTCAAAACTGCTCAATTGGCAGAGAGTTCAGAAAGCAGGCACACCAGAAGGGTCAGAAAGCTGGGCATGCTCAGTCTAGGGAGGGAGACAGGATAGCTGTCAGCAAATACTAACCTGAAGGGATGTTGCACAGGGACTCGTTATTCTAGTACCTAATGAAAACAGACCACGTACTAACAAATAAAAGCTTCAGCAGAGACCCTAGTGGAGGCCCTGGCCATAGAGGGGGAGAGAGGGGAGTTGCAACAGTGGAAAGCACCTGAAACCCCTCTCTGTTCTAGGGGCCCAAAGATGGCACATACCCTCAGAAGAGTGAGAAACTCTGGCTAGGAATGGGGCTTGGCCAGGGCAGCTGGAAGATGGAATGAGTTAGTGCATCCTCTAACCAGCCTGCACTATCAACCAGCCCCATGGAAACCCAAGAGAAAAGGAGACAGCAGGACACATCTTGCTCACCTGCCAGTGCATCAGGGTAATTTACACCCTCCCTCCCCAGCTGCAGGGACTCTGGCCCTACTCCAGTAAGAATGACTAGAGAACGCAATGTACCAATTTGCAACTGGAGGAGGATATGGAATGGCCACGGCTGAAGACAACCAAGGCTGGATATGATGGGCTGAACAGCTATAGGGTGAAAAACTCCATCTGGTCATCACACAAAAGGATCTGGGAAGGTTTAAGTCTCATTGATATTACGCACCTAGTACTCACATGGATGCAAAGGGCAGTGTGACAGAACTCTTATGTGAAAGTGATAAAGAATCACTGAAACAACAGATTCTAACACTGAACAAGGCATTTGATTAGAATAAAGAAAAGTAAGTATTACCCTTAAATCTACTGTCTTTCCAACTACCGAGCATTGCTTCTGCTCTATTCTCAGCGGTGCCAACTCTCATGGTTTTATCATGACTCTCATAATATTTGGTGATTTTCTTAAAGCCCCAGCTCCTGGAGTCAGGGGATTGTGTGAGAATCTCAGCTTTTATTAAAAAAAACTACAAGTTTCTAGTGCTCCTGGTTGCAGAGAAAAACTTGGGAATGTGACCCTTAGGATATGTCAACACCACAATCGTATGTAGATGTACCTGAGCTAGATTTGATCTAGCTAGTTCAGGTACTGGCTAAGTAAAGCTGCAGCCACATGGGCTTCAGCTTGGGCTGTACAAGCCCACCTGGAAGTCATGGTAATTATGAGGGTAGCTAACCTGCAGTGAAGCGTATGCTACCTCTGCTCAGGTACCTGACCTAGCTATAATACATGCCTCATGCTACGTATAGGACAGGGGTCCAGATACACTGTGACAGATGCCCATGGAATAACAATAAAGCAGACATGTGGCTTTCTGGCACTGTCAAAAGGGAGGGCGCTTGATAGAGTTTCCAGGCACCTGGATGAGATGGCTGTGACATATCCTCGGAAATCATTTATGGTTCTGGCTACCTTAGCAACAGGGCTGGCCCTAAACTAAATGGTGCCCCAGAAGAGGAGCGTCTTTGGCATTCCCCTACCCTTTGTTAAATTTTTGAATTCCTTATTTTGTATTGCATGTGTAGCCCATTTCACGACTTGGCTGCACAATTTGCATGCATGATTTATCCCTATCATATAAGATGCTCAATTTGCATGCTAGGATCTGTAAACAACAAAAACAGCCCCCCAACTCCAGCGCCCCCCAAGCCTGGCACCCCAGGTGGTTGCCTGGGTTGCCTGCCCCTAAATCCGGCCCTGCCTACCAAAACAGCACCCTGTTTACACAAGTAGTTGTAGTCAAACCATGTGAGCAGGTGGGCTTTCCTTGCTTGCATGACTAGAAATCAAACTATGTTCTAGCCATGTTAAAGGCCATGTTTAACCCGCCTATGCAGGGCTACTATGCATTGCAGGCAGCTGGGGCTGAAGACGGTTTGGTCTAAGCAAGGCACAGCCGCAGTTTCTGAGCAGACCATAGTCCAGTCCTGCCTTCGCTGCCAGTTCTACCCACATACAGCAGGAGCCATTACAGCTGGGGAGGTTCCTAGTGCACACGTGGCCCAAGGCACTACCGCCTGGCACAGATTCCTCTCTGCACACACTTGGGAGGCAGTCTGTTCCAGCCACATCTGGTCACCGACAGGCCATTTTTAACTATGTACAGAGAGGGCCTAGGTCTTAGGTACCTCCATGTCATGGCTGGAAGGGCTCAGCCCTCGCCTGGCACAAGCACTGCTGAAAAGCCCACCTCATCCTTTAGGTGCTTCAGTAGGAAATCTGGCCCTGGATCTCTGGGGGGGAGAAGGGGGAATGGGGGAGGAGAGCCACAGCCCCCCACTGGCCACACGCGCTCTGGCTGCTCCTCACTGCGAGAAGGAAGCGGAGGGGCTGCAGTCAGACAGCAGTGAATAGAGAGGAGAGGGGCCACCTCCTCAGCTCCCTCGCTCCAGATGCCGCACGCAGCACCCCCAGCCAGGGAAAGCAATGACTTCGCTTTCCGGGATGGTGTCCAAACCCAGAGCTGCTTGGGGCTGAGCGGGCTCACACCGACTGAGCCGGTAGCAAAATCTGTCGGTAGCGCTTTTGCACATTGCACCAGCAGCTCCTGGACGGGGCTCCCTGCAAAATCCCATTGAACCAGGAGGTCCCTGCTCCACCTTAAACCAGATGCCTCCCTTGCACCGGGGTCCAAGAGAGGAAGCCAACATGGAGGCCAGGTGGGCTGCTGGGAAGAAGCAGGAAGATAGCAAGAGAAACCGAGAGGAGATTCAGGCTGGGGGCGTGCCGGGGGAGGGTGTTAGGTGAGGCCACTGTGCTGCGTGGGTGCTGGATCTCTTGTAGGAAAAAGAGCAGGGGACCTGCAGTTTGGAGGGGCCAGGCCACCCGCCATGGGCTATGAGTCATTGGTCTTCACCAAATAAGTGCCCAGGGACCATCCCCTCTGTTACAAGGGCCAAATCTGGAGCCCTCGGAAGTCACTAGAATTTGGCCATTGACTCCAATGGGATGAGATGTGAGGGGTTAAGCAGGAGTGGCTGGATAAGCTGTCAGCACCCACACACTGCAGCCCCAAAATAACAAAACCACGGCCTGATTGCAGCTCCTTTTGAGCTGCCTGGGATTTGAGCAGGTGGGGAGTGGCTCCTGTTCTCCCTAACTGTTATTCAGGTGGCTCTTGGTGGCAGGGGAGGGACAGAGAGACAAGGTGTGCTGGGCTTGTTTGACTCCCCGGGCTGTGCTTCAAAGAGCTGCCCCAGGATCAGAGAGTTCTGCACTGTAGCCCAAAGCTGGAGCTGAGGTTCTTTGGTGCTTCTCTAGCAGGAATTTCTGAAAATCAGGGCCCTGCGGGGGGATCTGCCTGTGTCTCTCTTGCACGGATCATAAGCCACTGGCTCCTGCTGCCCACGTGCCATTTTTATAAGCTCCAAGTGAAACATGAGCTAGTCCCAACCTGCGGCTCTGCCTGTGCTGGATAGCCTGCTCTTGCTAGCCCTGGAGTTTGGAGCTAATTGTAAAGTGTGAATGAATGTAGCTGGGTTTGCAGCCAAATCCTTGCACCTTTCCAAGAAGGCTGAAATATCCAGCCCTATAGGATGGGTGAACCGACAGACCCAACACGGCCTCGATCACAGTGCACTGCATGTTTATTTTCTCAGCCCAGGTGCAGCTTCCGGGCCGCAAGCGCTCCCACTGCTGTTGTTTCTATTTTACAGCCAGGTTGGATTAAGTCTGTCATGGCTCACCACCAAAGCCCAGATCTTAACCTTTGAAGCATATGGCAAAGCCCCTCTTCTTACTGCCTTCTCCACAAGGGCTGGTTGCGCCTTTTCAACCCGACTGGTTAGTCAAAGTGCGGGGCCCTGGGGATGTTCCAGCTAGAAGGAGACATCGATGGAGGGTGCTGTTTTCTTTGCTGTCACCTTGTTTAGTTACTAGGAACGTACAAAATTCTGCTTCTCTGAATGCAGGAGGACCCACGAACAAAGGGAGCAATTTCTTAGGTTGCATGCAGCCCCAACTTTCTTTAGCCAACAGACCCAAAATCTCTCTCTCTAGCTATATCCAGGGTCACACTTTGTTCACAGGCTGCTGCTTGTCTCTGCCTCTCTCTCTCTTCTTGTCTTTTTTACTCTTTTCTCTCTTCTGCCTCCCCCCTGCCCCATGTGCCTCTACTCAAAACAATACTCAGCCAAAAGCTCCTGGGTGCTTCACATACTCCTTTTGTCTTATGTGACTCAGTGAGCGGTGGGGGCCTCAGGGCAGAGGCGGAGCGGGGATGGGAAGGGGCGGAGCGCGGGCAGGCCTCGGAGGGGGGTGGGAAGAGGAGCAGCGCAGGTGGGGCCAAAGGGGAAGAATGGGAGCGGGGCCCTGGGGTGGAGCGCAAGCAAGGCCACAGCCCAGGCATCTGTGCTTTCTGAGAAAGCGGGGTGGTGGCTGTTTGGGAGCCTCCCCTGGCCTATTATGCCCACCACCCCTATCCAGTTCCCAGGACCATGCTGGTAACAGAAGCCTAGACAGTTGGATTTTGTGCTCCCTGCAAGACAAGTCCTTAAAGCAAGATTGGTCCAATGCAGGACTTCCTCCTCCTCCCGTAGCTGGTGGGGAATGCTTCCACCAGCATCACAATGGAATGGCCAAAGGGTTTACCTGCTGTTGAATTTCTCAGGGTGCTTTTCTCTCATCACGTGGAATCGATGCGCGATGGAGGCGTCCTGCAGGGAGAGGGAACGAAGGGACACGTGAGTTGAGTTATGGGAAATGCCTGATGACAGAAGAGAGACATTTCCAGAAAATCAACATGAACTTGCCAAGAGCTGAGATTCAGATAAGTAAGTGTCATCTCCTTAGCCAGGACATCAGCTCCTGAGGGCTAATGCCTGAAACAGAAGTTTACTCGGGGCTTTGATTTCTGCGCTAAAGACCTAGTTAGGGTTTTTTTATTTAACAGCCAAACATCATCCACGTCTGAGTTACCAGCAAAGCCGAGCCCGAGGAAATGGGTGAGTTGCTGTTGCTGACAGAGCTGAGCCCCCCTGGGAGAAGAGGGAACTGTGGGAGGCTGAGGGCAAGGAGGTGACAAAGGAAAAGTCACGGACATCTCAAATGCTGATGGTATCTGATTTTATCAAAAATTTCCATGACTAAGCTGTGATTTCCCCTAAAGTCCTGCTAATGCCTTGGAACTACAGAATTCCCTGGCCGTGCAGGCAAGCTTGAGTGCCTAGAGACACAAAAAGAACAACAACAAAAAATACAGTAAGGGACAATCCTGCACTAGCAGGGAGGATAGGGACTAGACGACTCAATATTTTACTTCTCTGTTTCTGTGCCCTTAACGCCGTCATTGGCAGTCTGGGGATTTTACCGTAACTCTAGTCATGCAGAGAGACTTGGAATCTTGCACTCTACATCAGTACTGTATAGCGGCTAGCATACCGTTATCGGGTATTAAAGAGGGAGTCCCATAACGTTACACTCATTGCACATAGCATGAGATCACTCTATGATGAGACAGCATTCTATATCGCCCACTACGCCAGGTTAGAAAAAGAGCATGTCCGACACCTAACCACCTAAATTCCTTCCTCCATCAACTTCTGTAGAGCTACGCCTGCGTACCTGAGATGAGCGCTTGGGCCAGCCATGTTAAACGGGCATGTTAAACAAGATGCAATTTGCTAACTTGGCCTCCCTCCTAGACTACCTAAACCCCACCCCTCTGAGGTGGAGAAGGATGGCAAGTGACCAAACAGCAAGCTAGGGGGAAAAGTGATGGTGTTTCTTTCCTTCCTTCAGCCCTTGAAGGCCAGTTTATCTCAAGAGCTGAATGCATATAAAACAACTCCATTTTATGCCATTGACTCAGTTTCCTGCAATTTTAAACTATTCCTTAAGCTAATAATTCCCTCTCTTATATGGGGTATTTTAGTCAAACATTTATGAAAATTTCCAACAGTTAAATCCTATAGAACATAATGGGGATCTATTGGGATTACTCTCCAACCTATCCAACGCAACAGGGAACAATATCCTTTCTGTAGGTTATTGGAGCTGTGTGTTATGATTCCATAGCAGGGCTAGAATTCTCTATGTAATTCTATGACGCAATTCAAAAATTCAACAGCAAGATTTGAATTGTTGCAAGATATGTTGCAGCTGAAGAAGTGGGTTTTTTACCCATGAAAGCTTATGCCCAAATAAATCTGTTTAGTCTTTAAGGTGCCACCAGACTCCTTGTTGTTTTAACAGCAAGATTATTTTCTATTAAACTCTGTAGGACTTTGGAGAAGGGAGGGAATTATGAGAGAGGAGTTAACACTGAGAAAGGGCAGTTTGGCTGTGTCACAACGAGGCAGAAGTCATGATGGGGCAGCATAAGGATCTGTGGGACTAGAACCTGCAGCTGGAGGGTCCGGGGTGACCAATGTCTCCATGGGGGAGCCGAGTGAAGCAGCATTTGACAATTGCTAGAGGATCAGGCACCGCAGGAAGTACCACCCACAGAAGCCCAAGCAAAAGAACCCTGCGGCCACCTGATTGGTATACACCAGCTATTTAAACCAGGAAGTTGCCCCAGGGAGCCGTCTGAGCAACAGTGTAGACACTCTGGCTTGCTACTGCTACAGACTTTGTCTTTTGCCCCATCTTACTCCTGATCCCTGCCTTCGGCCCTCTGCCCAGCTTGACTTTGGTGTCCATCTCCTGACTTGGCTTGGTAACTAGTCCCAACTACTGCCTTCGACCCTGGCCGAGCTGGCACTACTGGCCAGCTGCCAACGCCCTGGCCATTACAGGCAGCTTCTCTGGGGTGAAAGGAATTAACTTTTATCACCCAACCAGAGCTACCTCAGTGGGAAGGGGGAGGGGAGGTGGAATATCACTTGATGCTCCAGTGAGCACAATTTCCCTCTCTGGCTCCCTGTGTGCCATTCTAATTGTCCCACATGAGAGATTAACTGCCATGACTCGCTACGGAGGATATGTTAGAGGGGAGATTTTAACCAGACCCTCTGTTTGTCTGGAAAGGTGTGACAGCCTGTATGTGCCATGGCACCGGATGTAGCAGCCATGTGAGTGCGGGGTTATAAAGTGAGCTGCTTACGTAGTTTTCAAGCGTCCCTATAAAATACAGAATGCAAACTGTGCTGGTGGCTCTCTTTCAAGTCTCAGGGCTCGGGTGGCACTGGCAATGCATGCACCACATCAAGGAATCAGCAGCCTATTCGTCGACAGGATCGCCACCTAGGGCCTTTGGAGAGCCCCGAGTTAAACATAGCTCTAAGCTCCGTGCAAGCCAAACCTTCCGGGCGGTGCTAAGGCTGCTGCCCAGCAGTCCTCATGCCCAAAAATCAAGGAGGCGCAGACAGGAAGTGGCAGTCCAGCTGCCCAAGACTGACACAGCCCGTCACCAGGGCTTTCTTTCAGGGCCCTCTGTCAATACCAAACCTCCCAAGCATGACTTAAGCTTTCAGGGTGTCCCCCTTTTATTGGCTCCTCAGTACCCTGCACCCTTCCATAACAGACTGTGTGGAGGAATTTGTTTTATAGCCTCAGTGTCCTTTTTTGGTCAATGGGCTCCCCACCAAAACAAGAAACCCAGCAGCCTAGGACTCTGGATCAACCTCGCAGGAGCCAAGCCGTCCATAGGCACCATGCAGCAGGGAAGCAGCTTCGTAAAGAAGCACATTTCGAGTCCACGTGGTCAAGGGCTTACTAGGAAAAATGATTTTTAAAAATGCAGGAAAGCCCAGTGAGAAGGGGTGAGGAAACTGTCTGTCTGTCTGTCTGCTCTGAAATAAACCTCCTGGGAGGACAGTGCTGTGTGCTCAAGGATATCTCCTTGGAGAGGGGCCCGGATGATTCATGTTCACAACTCAACCTGTGCTCACACATGCGACCTACTACATGTTTACCACAGTGCTGCTGTATCACACCATGAATGGTTGATATTAACCCCTTCCCTTCCAGGGATGGTTGGGCAAGCCATGGCCTGTTGGAAAAAAATGCTCCATTCATATTCCCGTGCAAGAAGAAATGCCTATTCGTTCTGAGCCACGTGAAATGTTTATTGCCTATGGTTGTGCCTTTGGAGCAAAGGACATATAGTAGTGCTGATCCCCAAACCAGAGTGTCAAGGCTGGATCCCCACTTTGAACTTTAGGGTACAAATGTAGGGGCCTGCATGAAAACTTCTAAGCTTAACTACCACCTTAGCTCTGGTTCCGCTGCCACCATTTCCCAATTTTTCCCTCCCTGGGAAGCCCTGAGAAACCTTTCACCAATTCCC